AGCTGAAGCTGTGAAATTTCAAAAGCAAATCCTTAGCCCATGTACGGGACAAAACACATGAAATTGGTTTAAAATTTTTTTATGTTATGTTATTGTCAAACTATCTGTCTTTCTCTTGATAAATTTCAGTCGTAGCGTTCAAACAAGACGTATCGGACACAAACATACACATACAGACATCCCCGTGATAACGTGCATTTTGTGCAGATGTTGCACAGCACAAAACGAATAAAGACAAATTCCATGAAACTTTTTGTGCAATTATGTTTAAAAGCGATTGTATCTGTTTTTGGAGAAAAAGCTGCCAAAACTTGATCCGTAAATAGACAACGAATAACGAAATTTCTATCATTTTAACATTTATCATTAGAAATTTAGTATTGCTGTCTTCCCCAGTTTTCCGAGAAAAGCATAAAAAAAACTGGGAAATGAGAACAATAAATTCTTATCATACTTGAAGTTTTAAATTCAGGGAAAAATCGATTTTTTCGTTTATGACCCTGAAATGGTTATTATTATGGTGAGTGAAAGCAATGGTTTTCTGGGACATTTTAGAATCGCAGTTAGAGAATAGATTAGTTGTATAATAACAAACCGAATTATTAATTTGGTGTCAAAGGAAGAAAAAGAACCAAATTCACAATATAAAGTAATTCTGAAGAGTAATGTTTTGCTCAGATTGTATTAACACATTTCTTGTTCCAACCATACTAATTATTCCGAACAGATCTCTTCTTTATGAAAAATAATGTGCCTTGCTTGTGATGGACTCAAACAAACCTTTAAATTATTTTTTTACTCAGTTCTTGGCGGAGAGAAGTACCTGCATTCTCGCTAGTGAGTGAATGCTAAGCTTCTAGATCCTCTTAGAAGCAAAGGCCTGGAGTGAACTGAGTTTAGTCTTTGTGTTTACTAGTTGCTGTGGAACTCGTTAGGCTGCTATTCAAAAAATGCAAATGCTAGGTTAGCTGCAAAAGTTGAATGACTTCACGCCTTCGATTATTCACTGAGAAATCTAACTACAGTCGGGAGATGCGAGGGTGGGCCTAGTGGGGCAGTTAAAAATTCGAGAAGCAGAGGAGTACAGAGGCCATATTTTATATTAGCAGACATGCCATGAAGTTAAAAAAATTTAAAAAGTAATATTTTTTAAAAGAAATCGCAATTTTTTGCAGCACATGAGTGGTGAGAATGCACATATCACGGTGCTGCCTGGACACAAGCGATATATTACTTATTATCGAATAGCACGGCACTACAAGCTAGGCTTATCATATGTCTTTGATACGCTGAATTATTCCAGCGTCATTATCACTGAAGGTATTCATGCATCTCTTCCAATGCACCATTGCTCATGGCTTATCCGAAATTTCTCTCTGATAAGTGAGATTATGCTAACTGCTGAAAGAAATGTGCAGAAAATACAAAATTCCTCTGTTTTTAATTTTCCGATTCGAGAAGGCTTTCTGCTAAGTGGCATACGCTGCTCATACCGCATTCTTCCAGTACAGGGACATAGCCCGGTGTACGTGTCAGTTGTCGAAGAGCCTCTCACCGGATCAAAATACTCTTTCCAACAAGCCCATAGGGATAGGATTTGGCAGAGTCGGATTTGGCAGACATCCTCCCAAAGTTTTTAGCAACACGCTTGAAAACGCGCTGATAAAAGCTCATGAATTGAAAAGCAAAGAGTTCTTGTATCCCCGTATGCCTTTTTTCAAAAACATTGAGCATATGAACATGCTAAATCTTCCCTCCTTTATCGCTGATCATGGTTACCTGTAGTTGACGCTGTATCATGGCTCGGGCTCTGTCTCGTAGAAAAATGTCATAACTAGCAATTCGAAAATGCTGTAAAGTAAAATCTGTAATAGATAAAATTAATGGAAGATCCCCATATCAACTATCTGGCCGCTTCCATTCAGAAGTGTTGATGAAGATGGATTTTGGCTCGAGTTTTACAGATGATCTGGACATCGCACCCGATTTTTTCGAATACTTCAGTGCCACTCGGCGGCTGCTTGATATTGACAAAACCCTGTACTGCGTGTCAGCTTGGAATGATAACGGCAAAGCGCACTTGATTGATATGAGTCAACCAGAGCTGCTCTATCGCAGTGATTTCTTCCCTGGGCTCGGATGGATGATGACCAGGTAAGCTGAATGTGCTTCATGTTTCACGTACTTCAAGCCGTAATTCTGTAGAGGAGAGCTGAGTGATATTTTTTGATAAATAGCAGCGTACGTCAGAATATCCGGTAGGATCATGCGTTTTGTACAATTCCGCCCACCGAGCGATTGCCTGTTAATGATTTTCGCTACTCTGCACTTTGGTCTGCGGAAAAATAACTGAAATATCGAAAAATGGTTAAAAATTTCATACACTGGCACGTGAAAGCTGAATTTGAAAGCTCGAGGAATGAATGTCCTTCCAAAATTTCAATATCCTAATTTTCTGGCTTTCGAATGATCTTTGAGACAAACTTTCGCGTGGTCCTACGTGAGATCTCGGCATCCTTGAGGAACTGAATTCGAGTTTATGAAGCTCCTCCTTAGGAAGGAAACATTCTCCTGGAATTTTCAGCCTCCTTACTCTTCTGGCTCCCGTGTTACATAATATATCAAATAATGATTTGTTTTTAATTAGAAATGGCATAAGGAACAATTGCGCCACTATGGTACAATATCCCGATCCTTGGTTCAAACTTTGGACACCCTACCCCGTTAATGTTTTGCAGTCCTATCAATCCCTAACCCGTGAGTATAAAAGCACTCCTTCCCATTTCGGAGCCTTAGAGCTATTACAGCTACTCGAGAAAGCTACTCCCTGTCGACTTTTTTGGGAACTTCGACTCCCAAGAACCTCCCCACCCTTTTGTATTGTATTTTTTTACGTTGTATTACTCTAGTTAATTCATGTTCTTATAAATGAATATCTAACCAGATTTTTCTACACACACAATGCATGCCATTAGTCTAGTTTATTAACTTTTAAGATCGTGATACGCGATAATGATTTTGTCGCCAAAACTTCCAAGGGGATATTAAAAATTTGCAGAGTTGTACTTGAACAGGGGATGTCACGCTAAAATTTCAGCTTCCCAGCTTTTGCAATTTAAGAGACAATTTCTTTGTAAAAAATTTTACGGATCGTAACATAGTATCCAGGAGTGCGTGAATGTTGAATCCAAATTTGCTGGGGTCATAGGGAACATCGCAATAGAATTTCAGATTCCCAATTTCCGTGATTCCTCAGATAATAATTTTTCCTGCCGAAACTTTCGCGGGGCAGTAAGTGACCTGAGCGCGCGAGAAAGATGAATTTAAATTTACGGGACTGGATGTGGGTAAGGCCCTTGAATTTTATGATTCCCGAGATAATAATTTTCTCGCCAAAATTTCCATGGGGCCGCAGGTGATACCCGAGAGCGCGGGAACGCTGAATTTGGATTTGCAAGGTCGTGCACGGGCAGATATCATTACCACAAAATTTCAGCCTCCTGGATTCTGTGGTCCCTGAGATAATAATTTACCCGTCTAAACTCTAACGGAGCCGTACTTGCTACCTGCTGATTGGGAAAGCAAGAATTTAAATCTTCTGGGTCGCACCTGGGCAAGGGACATGCCCAGAAAATTCCAGCTTTCTAGCTTTTGTGGTTCCCGTGATAATAATTCCATCCGCCAAAACTTTTATGACGCCGTACGTGTTACTGGCGGTCAAGGGAAAGCTGAGTTTAAACTTGCAGGATCGCACATGGGTGGGAACATACCTCTAAATTTTCAGCTTCCTAGCTTTTGTATTTGCTGAGTTGAAAATTGCGGACAAGTTACTACACACACACACACACACACACAGACAAACCCGTGATAATATACGTTTTGTACAGCTGTTACACAACACGAAACGCATAAAAAACGAAGTATCTGAAATATTTCAGAGAACTGTGGAATGAACTAAGGCCTGATTGGCCAAGCGGTTTCTGGGATGACTGGATACGTAATAATACGGTGAGGAAAGATCGCGCGTGTATTAGGCCCGAAATATCTCGCACTGGAATGACCGATGAAGGCAGGGAAGGCGCGAGCAAGTAAGACTCGATTCATTTTCGAAAGCTCTGTTTTTGGCTTTTAGTTGCTTCAGATCATATGTTACGGCACTATGCATTGAAGAATATATATAGCTATGTGCCTATTACGCATTTTTATACATATATAAGTATAATATATGTATATATTTATATATATAAATTAGATGCCTACTCTAAGAACAAAATATACAGCACAGGATCAATGAAGTAACATTAGAAGGCAGACATAGAATTTTCAACTAATGTGGTGAATGAGTATGTAAAAAAGGTAGTCTCTGTTTCGTCCTTTAACCATAACGCGCGAGGATAATGTAATTTTAAATTGAATTGAATTGAAACCTGTATTAATAATCGACT